GAGTGACACGGTTATCTAGCCCTTTCCCTCGCACATACACTGGCTCCCACCCCTGCCTTAAAAGACACGTCACTCAGAGCAGCAGGACTGTGAATGGTCCTTCCGGACTTTTTTTCTCATAACCAAACAGCGTTTTTCAAACCAAACCAAACATGTGCGAAGTAACAGGCACAAGGGCAAAAGCCAGGTTGGTGCATGAGGAGCTGCTGCAGACCTGCAGCACCGTTTCGTTTCTGCATGGCCAACGGTCGGCCTGTCAGGAAAGGCGGTTGGTTTTACTTGAGAGTTTAATAGCACCCTGCTATTAATCGTGTGATGTTCTCTAGCCCTTGCCCTTGAGCGCTACCTACAATTATCTACCTCTAATTATCTACCTCAGGCTACACTCTGAGCCAGCCCTACTGCTGAGGATTTTTGAATTAAACCTAAACCAAATGACAGATGACTCCACCTGGTCCGGCACAATGAGCTGGCAGGGACAGCGATGGAGATCTAATGCGCCTTAGGCACGCGGGAGGAATAGCTGCAGAAGAGTTTTTAGGGTAGGACACACATATACTGGCAAACTAACTTTGTGGTTAAACCATTTTCAGCAGTTCCCAGAAAAAGGATGAGAGGGGAGCATTAACAGGCTTTCAGGCCCCTTTGAAATGCCTAATTCAAAGCCCTACTTCCCAACCGCTAAGGGCCCACAGACTGCATGTAGGGGGTTTTCTTCACCTGAGGTCAGGTTGGGAAATGGGCTGCGAGCCACAGAACTTCCCCTAAGCCATGCACCCGTTTGGTGGGAATGTCCCGGCTCTCCAGACCCAGATGCAAACCAGCAGCCAGAGGCAAAAGGCTCTAGTGCTCCAGATGCAGCTGCAATCATCCACTCCTCCCCAGTGGAGCCGCTACACAGCTAGAAACCTGTGCTCAATCAAGGGCATCTGAGTTGACAGGTGGGGATAATTACCACACCCTCCCCAGTGTCATAAATCTCCTATAAAGACAAGGCCAATACACAAAACCAAAGCCATACTCCTGAGCTGAGAAAGGGTACCTACCTTGAGCTTGTGGGATGTAAGGAGCCAGCAGCTTCGCTCTTTTCTTCTCATATCCCTTCTGCGTGATGTCCCCTAAAATCAAAACCAGGAAAGTCAAATGTTACTTTGTCCTTGAGTTTTCTGTTGCAATATGTGAGCCGCGTGGCCTGACACAATCACGGGTTTGGGAGAGGTCAGCATCTGTGTAGTCAGAATCATTCACAAGGGTCAAGCGCTTGCCAGGACATTTTAGCCTTCTTGTTTTTTCATCAAAGTGAAAGATGGAACCAGACACCTCCGCCAGCCTGGGAACACCCCCTTCTGCGTCGCTCCCACCGCTTCCCTCCGGAGCAACGTGCCGCTTGAAGCAGAGCAGGTGTCTTAGTAGACTATCACCCCAGCACCAACTGTTTCAAAGGAGAAGCAGCTAGCCCCGCCATCCCACTCAGACACGCAGCCGACTCCACAGCCACCACCCAGCCGGCCAGACACCAACATCACGGTACAACCCCCAGTACTACAGGGACACGAGCAAGTAAGGAGCTTGGGCCTAATGAAGAAAGCAAACCAAGACCGGACACAAACCCTAAACAGCCAGCTCCTGATTTTCATGGGTCTGCTCCAGGAATAAATAGTCCACCCTGATTTCGAGTAAACTTGGGCAGAGCCAGCAGAGGGGACTGAGCTGCCAGCAAGAGCGAACAGACCCATTCGGACGACTGCCCAGCAAGCACTCAGTGTGGATGGCAGCAGCTCGGTCCTTATAGCTCTGGGTGCAAACTCTTTAATTGCGTCTGCCTTCACATCCCCTGTGGTTCACATCAGGATGACGGACGCCTGCCTCTCGGGGGTCCTGTGCAGAGTGTATGCTTGGAAGCCCGCAGAAGGGAAACACCAGGGAGCACAAAGTATTAGTAAACTTTTTTTTCCCAAGACCCCACCAGAAGTCCCACCTATGCTGCCTTTTGCTTAACTTTCTCGCATTTCATCTGAACTGCAGGAAAGGAACTAAAACCCTGAAGGGTTTAAAAGAGAAAGCACTGAATCATTTCAAGGCTTTGCAGCTCGGCATGCATTCAAAACCTCATCGCTCTGGGGATCAAAAGGTAGGAAGTGACCCACTACACAGTTGTGAGGAAGAGCAGAATTCACGAGCACTACGGAGTCTGGCTACCACTATGGATGCACTGGTACCACGTGGAGAAGCCATCCACCTGGTTGGGCATTTTCTTTTTTACAGGGACATGATTCTGCAAAGTAACGGGGGGTCAGTCCCTAGCAACAAGGCTAGGATAGTTCAGCTTGATGCACTAAAAGCTTCCCCAGCACTCTTCCATCAACATCCCTCAGCCCTGATGTCGAGTGCCAGAGGTCTTTCTGCAAGGCTCATTCTACCCCTGCCCTCTCTGTGGCAATGACTGCCAAAGAGGCCAACCCGTGCCACTTGGGAGGATGGTTTTGTAGTACAAGCACATGGCCTTTGGGAAGTGAAATGCGATGCCTTCCTTAACACCGAATGCTCAAATCCCAACACCAGGTGACAAACACTAGACTAATACCCTCTAGTGGGGAGTGATGCAAACACATGCAGGCAGAAAATTCACTCAACTCCTGCCTTCTACAGGGTTTGAGCCAGACCCAAACAAGTCCGAACAAATCTAGCAACGGAAAAGTTAAACATCGGTGAAGCACCAAAATGCAACCCACGGGACAAGCGTACAAGAAAGATCGCAATTTGCAGCTGGTTAAATTAACCCAGCTCATGGGAAAGGTATGTTGTTAATGCAACAGAAGTGCACCTTCAAAACCAGCAGCAGAGACCATTATGTGTTGCCTCGCATCCACTTACAAGATGCCGCTCTGCTGGAAGCAGTGGAACAGTAACAACCGCACTGACTGGGAAAACCCACAGTGCAATCCTTTCACAACTTCATTTTCAGAGGCAGCTTTTGCCTGATTGTGAAAAATCCTGCCCGGGAACATCTGGGGAGCAGACAGAAGGAAGAGGCTGCTGTTCCTGTTCTGCCCAACCCTCCTTGGCAAAGAGGAGCAGGAAGTTCTTCCCTGCAAGCCACCCCCCTTTGCCTTTGTTTGCAACTCGGTCTTTGGTAATGAGGAGTTTCTCTGTGCCTAGGCACAGACATGCGGGGAGGTTAAATCAGGTTCAAAATGGCCACCTGATTTAAACATAGCTCGTCCTGGTGCCAAGCCGGTGCTTGCAGACCCGGTCTCCAGTGCCCAGAAATCAATCTAAACCCGTACAGAAGTTCCATGCACACAAACTGGTCTAAAAATTGCAGAAACCAGTTTAGATAAACCTGGATAAATGCAGAATAACACTTACTCCATTTAGGTCAAACTGGTGCATGGAATTTCTGTACACTTTCCCTGTGCAGCCCTGGGGCTGGGAACAGCCAGTCACCAGTCCCGGGCCCAGCCCGGGGCTGCACTTTTCACCCTCCCCTCCCCATGCACCCAGGTATTTTTTGCCCCCTCACCCCCAACCCACAAGCTATTCCAGGTGCAGCTGCTTTTATCACTGTGCACCCCTGCCAGAGCCAAGCAAACAAGTCTCGGTGGGTAGAGGCAGGAGGAATAAGGGTGTAGGTTCACTGGGGGGAAGGGGTAAAAATTGCCCCTGGTCCCTCCAGGCTCCCCTGCAAGCCCCCCCTTAAAGGTTCCTATTTAACAAAATCCAAGACACTGAAATAGGGACGAGAGACTCCATTTATCCTGCAATTTGGAAGTGCTATTGGTCTCCAAGCAGAGTAACACACGATCAGTCAATGCTTCGGCAGATGAGGTGAAATGCAGTCTCAGTCTTTTTCTCTCCTTGTGTCTTCCTAGATCAAAGGCCACGGTGCTTACTCCAAATCAGGCGAGACCCTGTGGGGGGGACTTTCTAAGGAGGATTGCCCCAAGTAAAGCCTCACCCCTGTATCACCCAGATCTGACAGTTCTGCCCAAGACCCAGCTCCACCTGGCTCAGAGTTACGGGCACTTCTCCTTGTCCTTCCTGCACGGTGGGGTGTCCACACTTTGCCTGGCCACAGGCCATGTTGCCAACTTGCCAAGAGGGCAGAGGGCGACACTTTAACTGTATGACAGGAAGCAGAACGGAAACCACACCTAAGTACTAAACCTGAAGACATCTCCCCCCCCGGATTGCAGTGGAAGCACCGGGATGGGGAAGGGCCGGCTGGAACCAGGAGTCTCCACAGCCCCGACTTCTGGATCAGAAATGGGCAGTAATAGCTGGGGGCTGCCGTGCAGAATTGAGCGGTTTCACCTCGCTCCGCATTACGGCCCTTCTGCATTGAGCTGCAGGACGTGCTTTTATTTTTGTTTTAAAACCAACCCGTATTCAGTATCAGTAAATGCATAAACATTACTGACACTTTCTGAACTGGCTGATGCTTCCTGGAGATGGGAGGGGAAGGCAGCAGAAAGGCACTCGAGTGCTCTTGCGGTTTTCTGCAATACTATGGAAAGATTCGAGTAACACTGTGGCCTCCTTTCAGGAGTAACCCTGCTAGACCCGGTGCAGTGCAGCGAGAGGGTCAGTAAACATGGGTGAAAGTTAAACATCTCAGGAGTGAATTAAACTGCTGCAGACTTATTAGCTGGAATTGAATACATTTAGACTTTACAAAAACGTTAACACTAGGTCTCTCATTTTTTATTTTTCTTTAAAAAAAAAACACCCTTTTGTATGCTGAACTTGAGCTAACAGGAATTAATTCACTGCCTTAAAACAGCAAAGACAACAATGGGACACTGGATATTTTACAAAACCAAAAATAGAAAACTCCCGCATTCCCATGCGTATGTCATCACAAGGGTGACGCCAACAAATAAAACCTCATTAAACTTTGCAGCTCTCAAACATGGCGAAAGTCTTTTAAAGACTCTTAACAAATTTGTAAACAACTTAAATTTCAAGCGAGAAATTAGAAGTAGTGGAGTGATACCGAGGTGCTACGCTGCTACGCATCCCGTCACAACCAGATGTGTTTGTAGCGGACTCCTGGGGTGACCAGCACTACAGCCTGACAAAGTTCATTTAGAAAGTACTTTAATTCCCAGGTAAATGCAGCCCCACCCACCGCACACACAAAGTAACCAGCGGCTGCTCTGTGGGTGTATAGCAGGGGTCAGCAACCGCCGTGCATGGCACACAAGGCCATTGTGCTTGGCACACCACCGCCAGCCCGGGCTCCACACAGCTGGGAACCACGGAGCCCAGGCTGCTCCCAGCAGGCGGCAGGGAGGCTGCAAGCAGACCAGGCCCCGTGGGCCGGCTGCAGCCGGGAGGCTGCAAACAGCTCCAGCACCTTCCAAGGTAGACACTAGTTTTTTTGGCACTCCGGCCAAAAAACGTTGCCTACCCCTGGTGTATAGCAACACCAGGCAAGAGTTTAGGACAGGTGGTGAAGAAGAAACATGTATCCAAATGTAGCCAAAAAGACCATTTAGGGAAGTGAATGAATCAACTCAAACAAGACTGGGCAAGACACCTGGCAAAATGCCCTTTAGAGAGAGACGGAGAGAAAGTAAGCAGGTGACAGATCCCACAGGGTCTGTAAAGCAGATGGTGACGTAGGTGCCACTTTCAATAGGGAACCCCCGGAAGAGCTGGGCCTCAACAGACATTACCAAGGCTCGGTTCAAGGGCCTCCGATATACAGCACAGTAGACATTAACCTACAGTGGTCTTAAATCTTTCCTCACCTCTTCTGCGATCTATCTGAGATCTGCATCTACTGAGATAAAACCAAAAATACATCCATACAATGAAAAAATGTGTTCTTTCCCTCTGGTCCCCGTTCTGCCAATCCACAGGAAATGGAAACAGTTGGATCTGAACATAAATAAGGATTTCCTCACAAAATGTCATAAATGATGGCAACAGGAAGGGAGCAAGACAATAAGACTGCAATCTCAAGAGCTGTCCGCTTCTATCATACAGAGCCGGTAAGTTGTGAAAAGGGGGCTGAAAAGAACATTGGTTTTACAACATTAAGTCCTTCCAAGGGATCTAAAGCAGAGTTTCTCAACCTGTGGGTCACAAGAATATATGAAAGAGTCACGAA